GGTGTTGGTTCCGGGAGTGCTGGTTTTGGGGGTGTTAGTCTTGAGGGTGCTGGCTCAAAGAGTACTGGCGGTAGCAGTGGTCGGGCTGGGGTCCTGGCGTGAACCGGGAACAGCAGCAGTAGCAGCAGCCGCAGTCTACCCTTCGTCCCCTTGACCTTTCCTCCAGTTCCCCTGACTACCCGCTCATCCCTCCCACAGCGCCTCCCCTCCCGCCTGCCCTCGTCTACGGCCCACTGTTCACCCCCCTGGAGTCGACTCCAGCTCGTTTCTCCCCTCATTCTCATCCGTCCCCTGTCTTGTCCCTTGTTGCCCACCCGTTGGTGCGTCGTCCCCCTGGTGGTTGTCCTGTCTCTCTTCGTGCTCGTGTCCACCCTATGGTCCTTCGTTCTTGTGCTCCTTCAGTCCCTATCCGACCGCTCCCTCCTCATTCGCCCCTACCCCTGTCCTTTCCTCCCTCTGACTTTGCTCGTACTGCTCGTCATGTTGTCTCCCGCTTGCTTGCGTCTCTTGTTACAAACCCTGCCTTCCTCCTGCTGGTGTCTCCGTCCGTCCGGGGTGCACTTGCTGTTTGCAATGACGTTCTAGAGGATAGGCAGTACGAGTTGGCTTTCCTTGCTGCTGCTTTACCTTATCTCTGCGTCATGCTTGTGTTCCCTGAGGGTGACCCGGACGCCCTGGACATCCATACCCCGCGCTCGTACACTGAGGCGGTCTTGGGGCCCTGGGTAATCTAGTGGATATAGGCCATGAAGGAAGAGATGGCATCTTATAGATCCATTGGCACTTACGTCGATACATCCTCCACCTGGGGCAAACATAGTCGATGCCATGTGGATCTATAAGGTGAAGCTTCCACCTGGAGAGCCGCCGTAGTTCAAGGCACTGTATGTGGCCAGAGGCTTCAGCCAGGGAGAGGGTGTGGATTTCTTCCAGACCTTCTCCCCCACCCCGAAGATGACTACTCTTCGGGTGCTCCTCCATTTAGCCGCACAGCATGACTATGAGCAACACTCTCTGGACTTCTCGAGAGCATTCTTGCAGGGAAGTCTACATGAGCAGATCTACCTACGGCCCACTAGGCTTCACCAGGTCCTTTGCTCCTAGGACCTAGTGGAGCCTATGCCGTCATGTTTACGGTCTGTGCAAGGTGCCCTGTGAGTGGCACGACACGCTCCACACTTGCGGCTCTCCACTTCTTCCCATCCTTTCCTGACCCCATGCTCTTCGTTCATGCCGGTCAAACTCGGCTCTACATACTTGTGTACGTAGATGACCTTATCTTTGCTATACCAGACAGAATTGCACTAGCCTCAGTGAAGGCCGAGTTGCTCAGGCAACATGCGTGTACAAACCTAAGAAAGCTACGGTGCTATCTGGGCTTGGAGATCTCTCGTGACTGTGCAGCACACACGGCCACTCTCCCAGTCCCACATGGTGTACCAAATCATCCAGAGGTGAGGCCTTCAGTTCACGTCAGCACAGTCTACTCCCGTGCATGTGGACCACAAGCTCTTAGCTCCTGTTTCCGGTGAACAGGTCGAGCCTAGTGGTCCATACGTAGAGCTAGTGGGGAGCCTCATGTACCTGATGACTTGCACTCATCCAGAACTAGCGTACCTTCTCAGTATCCTTGCTCGCTTCGTTGCGACAAGCAGCACCGACGAGAGCACAGGCCGGCTACCTAGAGGGCATCGCGCTATCTGGCGAGTACATTAGAAATGGGGCTTGTGCTGGGAGGACGGGAGCCAGTGCTCCTCACTAGACATACTTGCGCGTCATGGGCTAACAACTTGGAGAAGCTTAGGTTCTCACATGGCTACTGCTTTGGCCTTGGTACGGGTGTCGTCTCGTGGCGGTCCACTAGGTCGTCGTTTGTAGCTCAGTCCAGTCGTGAGGCAGAGTTCTACGATGGTGCTATGGCTTCTCAGGAGCTCCGCTGGCTGCCATTCGTGCTCAATGACTTAGGTGAGCAGCCTAGGTCTGCCTCAGTCGTGTTTGTTGATAACAGGGCTATGATCCTCCTGTGTTATGAGGCCTGACTTGAGGGCAAGGCCAAGCACATCCAGCTGCGGTACTTCGTGCTGTGTGAGTTGCAGCAACGCTGCCTGACCTGCGTAGTATAGTTGGCCTTAGAGGCCAACACTGCTAATACTGTATCTTCACGAAGAACCTTTGGCTTCGTGATGATTAGCGGTTCCTGTACTCAGTTTGGTCTAGTCTTAGTTGCCTCACACGCGCTTGTATCCTGATCTATACTATACCGGCTTTGTATAGGTATGCTGTTTCTATACCGATTGTCTTGTTACACTTGCTGACTGGCCTTCTGGCCCTTCTCTCAGTGGCCAAGTAGTGCTGCTCTGGATTGTTTTATCTTGTGAAACGTGGACTACACAGGCTAGGGGGTGTGTTAGAGTTCATATTTATATGCTAGGTGTGTATGAACTATAGCCTAGCTAGGTGCATTTTATAGAGAGGATAATACCTATATACTAACCCTTGTTTGCCCTTGCCTCATCAATTCATTGTCTCTCGATTCTATGTTTTACATGGCCCAGACAACTTCGGTCAAGGTCAGAGGTGAGCTGTGCCAGCATCATCGCCGCAAGGCCTACTATTGGACCGCACGGCATCGATCTTGCGCGCCTATCATATTCGCATCTTTTGGACCGATTTCGGGAGAAAAGCCTGTATGGGGTTTGATTTTCCCATGATGGCATTCAAAGCCCACCGTGCCAAATGGAATAAAATGATCTTACGGTATAAGCGAACACACTCTTTTGCATATACACCGTACAAGCAACTAGGGGGACATATCCAGGGTATTACAGTAGTACGAGATAAGGCATACATGTAATTTTTTGAAAGTGTGTAACACTTTCTAAAAAATGTGTATTGTGAGAGTATAGCGAGGGCCAACGCAGCAAAGTCAGCGTCGAAGTGCTACTCACACTCTTTTGCCTACAAAAGAGGGATGTGAGGCCATTTGGCCTCACCCACGTTCTTCATTTCTAGTTTCTCTAGTTCAATTTCCCCGCCCACCCACCCTCTTGTGTGTGTAGTTCTTTGTTGGACGAGAACCATGTATGTTTCCCACATGAAATGAAGCACGCTGCCTTTACAAGAGGACCTAAGCAAGCTTTCACAATGGTACATATATGTCTTCTATCCAGGCAACGATGGCACAGGCATAATGCATTCTTTGATGCAAGCTGCATAGTGCCATACGGTACTTCACGTCTCATGGAACCCCAACCGCCATCCAACCACACCCGGTTTATTCCCATCGTGGATCAAATGACCAGGGGGGGTACTTTGTTTGGCTCAATCGTAAATCCATGAAGGATGCTTGGAGCACACCCGTTGCAAACAAAGCCATGTCACTGTAGAGCAGACTCCCTGTTACCTCGCCATTCACTCCTTCCTCGCATGGTCCCACCCCGTGTACACAAACTCCTTGGCCATCTCCTGTGCCTTCCACGTGGCTGCAGCAGCTGCCACCGCCAGCAGGGCAAGCGGCACGCGAGCACGCATGGAGGTGGAGGCGGCAGCAGCAGCAGCGGCGAGCAGGGAGAGCAGTGGCAGCAACAGCTGCGGTAGGGCAGAGAGGGCGGAGGAGCAGGAGGTGCAGTGCGCTGTGTGGGAGGCCAGGCGGTCCAGCACCACCTCCTTGGGCTCAGGCTGGGGCGGCAGGGACACACCTGAGAAGGCTGGCGGGTAGGCCACCGGCGCCACCTGGTGGACGAAAAAAAAGAGAGGACCCGCCCGCATTGTTGAGTCCCCTGCATATTTGGTGCCTGAGAAGATGGTGGCATGAAAGCACATCAAGGTGCCAGCATGACCCACCACCCACCTGCATACTTGGAGAGCCACTGTCTGACCCCCACCCTCTCACTCCCCATTCTCTCACCCCCATTCTCTTGCCCCCATTCTCTTGCCCCCATTCTCTCGCCCACATTCGCTCCCCCCCATTCTCTCACCCCCCATTCTCTAACCCCCCATTTTCTCAACTCCCATTCTCACCCCCCATTCACTCTCACCGCGAATCTCACCAGCATGCACACCCCGCACTCACCGTCGAACACCTGGTGGTTGCGCAGGTGCATGAGCCAGGGCGGCAGCGAGGGCAGGTGCTTGCTGTCGCCGCGCCTCAGCAGCTGCACCTGCAGCGCCATGCTGCTGCCGGGCGCGCTGGGCGTTATGTAGAGCAGCAGCAGGTACTCCGTGGGGGCCAAGGGCGCCGCCCTCTGCCACGGGAAGGAGAACTTGGGCGGGCGTGGTCTGGGGGAGGGGGTGTTGAAGCGAAGCAGGGAGCAGAAAAGGGGAGGGAGGACGGGGGTAGGGTGGGGGGGAGGGGAGAACGCGGGGAAGATGTAGAGGCAGAGAAAGAAAGAATCGGCTCCTGCATGGTGCTACTGCCATCTGCAGACGGCGTCATGTCGACATGGCACAGGGTGAATGCGTTGGGATGCAGTGATTCAGGCAACCCTGGCTCGCTGGCGAACCTTGCCCAACAGGGGCCGGTAGGAAGGGGGGAGGGCGATGAGCGCAGGAGGGAGGGAGAGTGCGGAGGAAGTGAAGGCGAACGAAGGAGGTGAAATATGTGGCAAACAAGATCGCTGGGGTGGAACTTAGTGTGGGTGGGACCAGGCTGCAACTAGGGTGAAACCAGGGTGAAACCAAGGTGCAACTAGGGTGAAACCAAGATGCAACTAAGGTGAAACCAGGATGAAACCAAGGTGCAACTAGGGTGAAACCAGGGTGAAACCAAAATGCAATTAGGGTGAAACCAAGGTGCAACTAGAGTGAAACCAAGGTGCAACTAGGGTGAAACCAGGGTGAAACCAAGGTGCAACTAGGGTGAAACCAGGGTAAAACCAAGGTGCAACTAGGGTGAAACCAGGGTAAAACCAAGGTGCAGCTAGGGTGGAACCAGGGTGCATCCCGGATGAAACCAGGGGCACGAAGGTCATCGTGTTTACCAGATTTCTAGAGGAAAGAAGAGAGATGCGGCGAATGGTGGTACGTGACGAGTGGAGAGATGTGACTGTTTCCAAGACGCACAAGAGGAGGAAAATTCGGGAGAGAACACCTTTTGGGAGTCAGTGTGGATGATGCTGAAACTCATGACACCGACCTACGAGGTGCTGAGAGCCGTGGGCAAGAGATCTTTGCTCGTGGGCGAGAGATCTTTGCTCGTGGGCGAGAGATCTTTGCTCGTGGGCGAGAGATCTTGCTCGTGGGCGAGAGATCTTTGCTCGTGGGCGAGAGATCTTTGCTCGTGGGCGAGAGGTCTCTGCTCGTGGGCGAGAGATCTCTGCTCGTGGGCAAGAGATCTCTGCTCGTGGGCAAGAGATCTCTGCTCGTGGGCAAGAGATCTTTGCTCGTGGGCAAGAGATATCTGCTCGTGGGCAAGAGATATCTGCTCGTGGGCAAGAGATATCTGCTCGTGAGGAAGATCCATGGCCGCATACTTGAGGCAATTATCATGACAAATGAGCTGGCAGAGGCAGCGGGAAAAAAACCCACCTTCCTGGCTGCTCATACATGTGCATGGCCTGCCGTGTGTGTACTTCCTTGCACCGGCTTAACCTTCCCAATCCTCCCATGAAATTCCTTGACCACAGCCTTCAACCCCCTCACACGTTTGCTTCACGGATGCCTTCCTTCACTGTAAAGAAAACCAGGGCGCCTTATGCCAAGGACAAGGCTGCATTCCTTGCCTCCATAACAGCAAACGGTGCTCGGTGGTGGGATGGCCGGCTGCACAACCCCCTGCATGCCTTGGGGTGGCTGCAAAGCCCCAAAAGCCAAATGCTGAGGAGGTGAGGCACGATCGTGGAATCAGCAGAGGAGGAGGAGGAGGAGGAGAAGGAGGAGGAGGAGGAGGAGGAGGAGGAGGAGGAGGAGGAGGAGGAGGAGGAGGAGGAGGAGGAGGAGGAGGAGGAGGAGGAAGAGGAGGAGGAGGATTGGTGAGCGGGCATGAGGTCACATCTCTGTGTCTACCGAGTTTGTTGACGTTAGGCAGCCTATAAAATCGTGAACAATGACCTTAAACGTTTACCCACGGATTGGACCAATGTCGGAAAAAACAACTGGAAAAACAGTCGTATAATACAGGCCATATTATACGACTGCAGAATTTTTTAGCCTTGGACCAAACAACCATCAGAAATTCTGGCACATCTCAGTATACACTTCCCACAAGTTTCTGATCATCCCCTCCAACACGCTTTTCTATGTACTCGAATCCCACAAGTTCTGCCAAGACATTCTTTCTAGCTCTTACGTTAGTACCGATAGTGCGGGCGAGAAGAGAGGTGGCGAGCACCTCACGGTGTTGTGGCGAGCACCTCACGGTGTTGTGGCGCGCACCTCACGGTGTTGTGGCGCGCACCTCACGGTGTTGTGGCGCGCACCTCACGGTGTTGTGGCGTGCACCTCACGGTGTTGTGGCGCGCACCTCACGGTGTTGTGGCGCGCACCTCACGGTGTTGTGGCGCGCACCTCAAGGTGTTGTGGCGCGCACCTCACGCTGTTGTGGCGCGCACCTGACGCTGTTGTGGCGCGCACCTCACGCTGTTGTGGCGCGCACCTCACGGTGTTGTGGCGCGCACCTCACGGTGTTGTTGCGCGCACCTCACGGTGTTGTGGCGCGCACCTCACGGTGTTCTGGCGCGCACCTCACGGTGTTCTGGGGCGCACCTCACGGTGTTCCGGGGCGCACCTCACGGTGTTCCGGCGCGCACCTCACGGTGTTCCGGTGCGCTACTCACGGTGTTCCGGCGCGCACCTCACGGTGTTCTGGCGCGCACCTCACCCTGTTCCGGCGCGCACCTCACCCTGTTCCGGCGCGCACCTCACGGTGTTCTGGCGCGCACCTCACGGTGTTGTGGCGCGCACCTCACGGTGTTGTGGCGCGCACCTCACGGTGTTGTGGCGCGCACCTCACGGTGTTGTGGCGCGCACCTCACGGTGTTGTGGCGCGCACCTCACGGTGTTGTGGCGCGCACCTCACGGTGTTGGGGCGCGCACCTCACGGTGTTCCGGCGCGCACCTCACGGTGTTCCGGCGCGCTGCTCACGGTGTTCCGGCGCGCTACTCACGGTGTTCCGGCGCGCTACTCACGGTGTTCCGGCGCGCTACTCACGGCTACTCACGGTGTTCCGGCGCGCACCTCACGGTGTTCCGGCGCGCACCTCACGGTGTTGTGCCGCGCACCTCACGGTGTTGTGCCGCGCACCTCACGGTGTTGTGCCGCGCACCTCACGGTGTTGTGCCGCGCACCTCACGGTGTTGTGCCGCGCACCTCACGGTGTTGTGCCGCGCACCTCACGGTGTTCCGGCGCGCACCTCACGGTGTTCCGGCGCGCACCTCACGGTGTTCCGGCGCGCACCTCACGGTGTTGTGCCGCGCACCTCACGGTGTTGTGCCGCGCACCTCACGGTGTTGTGCCGCGCACCTCACGGTGTTGTGGCGCGCGCCTCACGGTGTTGTGGCGCGCGCCTCACGGTGTTGTGGCGCGCGCCTCACGGTGTTGTGGCGCGCGCCTCACGGTGTTGTGGCGCGCGCCTCACGGTGTTGTGGCGCGCCCCTCACGGTGTTGTGGCGCGCACCTCAGGCTGTTGTGGCGCGCACCTCAGGCTGTTGTGGCGCGCACCTCACGCTGTTGTGGCGCGCACCTCACGCTGTTGTGGCGCGCACCTCACGGTGTTGTGGCGCGCACCTCACGGTGTTGTGGCGCGCACCTCACGGTGTTGTTGCGCGCACCTCACGGTGTTGTGGCGCGCACCTCACGGTGTTGTGGCGCGCACCTCAAGGTGTTCTGGCGCGCACCTCACGGTGTTCTGGCACGCACCTCAAGGTGTTCTGGCGCGCACCTCACGGTGTTCTGGCGCGCACCTCACGGTGTTCTGGCGCGCACCTCACGGTGTTCTGGCGCGATACTCACGGTGTTCTGGCGCGATACTCACGGTGTTCTGGCGCGCACCTCACGGTGTTCTGGGGCGTACCTCACGGTGTTCGGGCGCACACCTCACGGTGTTCTGGCGCGCAACTCACCCTGTTCCGGCGCGCACCTCACGGTGTTCTGGCGCGCACCTCACCCTGTTCCGGCGCGCACCTCACGGTGTTCTGGCGCGCACCTCACGGTGTTCTGGCGCGCACCTCAAGGTGTTCTGGCGCGCACCTCACGGTGTTCTGGCGCGCACCTCACGGTGTTCTGGCGCGCACCTCACGGTGTTCTGGCGCACCTCACGGTGTTCTGGGGCGCACCTCACGGTGTTCGGGCGCGCACCTCACGGTGTTCCGGTGCGCTACTCACGGTGTTCCGGCGCGCACCTCACGGTGTTCTGGCGCGCACCTCACCCTGTTCCGGCGCGCACCTCACCCTGTTCCGGCGCGCACCTCACCCTGTTCCGGCGCGCACCTCACGGTGTTGTGGCGCGCACCTCACGGTGTTCTGGCGCGCATCTCACGGTGTTGTGGCGCGCAACTCACGGTGTTGTGGCCACACCTCACGGTGTTGTGGCGCGCACCTCACGGTGTTCTGGCGCGCACCTCACGGTGTTCCGGCGCGCACCTCACGGTGTTGTGGCGCGCACCTCACGGTGTTCCGGCGCGCTACTCACGGTGTTCCGGCGCGCTACTCACGGTGTTCCGGCGCGCTACTCACGGTGTTCCGGCGCGCTCCTCACGGTGTTCCGGCGCGCTACTCACGGTGTTCCGGCGCGCACCTCACGGTGTTCCGGCGCGCACCTCACGGTGATCTGCCGCGCACCTCACGGTGTTGTGGCGCGCACCTCACGGTGTTGTGCCGCGCACCTCACGGTGTTCCGGCGCGCACCTCACGGTGTTGTGCCGCGCACCTCACGGTGTTCCGGCGCGCACCTCACGGTGTTCCGGCGCGCACCTCACGGTGTTCCGGCGCGCACCTCACGGTGTTCCGGCGCGCACCTCACGGTGTTCCGGCGCGCACCTCACGGTGTTCCGGCGCGCACCTCACGGTGTTCCGGCGCGCACCTCACGGTGTTCCGGCGCGCACCTCACGGTGTTCCGGCGCGCACCTCACGGTGTTCCGGCGCGCACCTCACGGTGTTCCGGCGCGCACCTCACGGTGTTCCGGCGCGCACCTCACGGTGTTCCGGCGCGCACCTCACGGTGTTCCGGCGCGCACCTCACGCTGTTCCGGCGCGCACCTCACGCTGTTCCGGCGCGCACCTCACGCTGTTCCGGCGCGCACCTCACGCTGTTCCGGCGCGCACCTCACGCTGTTCCGGCGCGCACCTCACGCTGTTCCGGCGCGCACCTCACGCTGTTCCGGCGCGCACCTCACGCTGTTCCGGCGAGCACCTCACGCTGTTCCGGCGCGCACCTCACGCTGTTCCGGCGCGCACCTCACGCTGTTCCGGCGCGCACCTCACGCTGTTCCGGCGCGCACCTCACGCTGTTCCGGCGCGCACCTCACGCTGTTCCGGCGCGCACCTCACGCTGTTCCGGCGCGCACCTCACGCTGTTCCGGCGCGCACCTCACGGTGTTGTGGCGCGCACCTCACGGTGTTGTGGCGCGCACCTCACGGTGTTGTGGCGCGCACCTCACGGTGTTGTGGCGAGCACCTCACGGTGTTGTGGCGCGCACCTCACGGTGTTGTGGCGCGCACCTCAAGGTGTTGTGGCGCGCACCTCACGCTGTTGTGGCGCGCACCTCACGCTGTTGTGGCGCGCACCTCACGGTGTTGTGGCGCGCACCTCACCGTGTTGTTGCGCGCACCTCACGGTGTTCGGGCGCGCACCTCACGGTGTTCCGGTGCGCTACTCACGGTGTTCCGGCGCGCACCTCACGGTGTTCTGGCGCGCACCTCACCCTGTTCCGGCGCGCACCTCACGGTGTTCTGGCGCGCACCTCACCCTGTTCCGGCGCGCACCTCACGGTGTTGTGGCGCGCACCTCACGGTGTTCTGGCGCGCATCTCACGGTGTTGTGGCGCGCAACTCACGGTGTTGTGGCGCGCACCTCACGGTGTTGTGGCGCGCACCTCACGGTGTTCTGGCGCGCACCTCACGGTGTTCCGGCGCGCACCTCACGGTGTTGTGGCGCGCACCTCACGGTGTTCCGGCGCGCTACTCACGGTGTTCCGGCGTGCTACTCACGGTGTTCCGGCGCGCTACTCACGGTGTTCCGGCGCGCTCCTCACGGTGTTCCGGCGCGCTACTCACGGTGTTCCGGCGCGCACCTCACGGTGTTCCGGCGCGCACCTCACGGTGATCTGCCGCGCACCTCACGGTGTTGTGGCGCGCACCTCACGGTGTTGTGCCGCGCACCTCACGGTGTTCCGGCGCGCACCTCACGGTGTTGTGCCGCGCACCTCACGGTGTTCCGGCGCGCACCTCACGGTGTTCCGGCGCGCACCTCACGGTGTTCCGGCGGGCACCTCACGGTGTTCCGGCGCGCACCTCACGGTGTTCCGGCGCGCACCTCACGGTGTTCCGGCGCGCACCTCACGGTGTTCCGGCGCGCACCTCACGGTGTTCCGGCGCGCACCTCACGGTGTTCCGGCGCGCACCTCACGGTGTTCCGGCGCGCACCTCACGGTGTTCCGGCGCGCACCTCACGGTGTTCCGGCGCGCACCTCACGGTGTTCCGGCGCGCACCTCACGGTGTTCCGGCGCGCACCTCACGCTGTTCCGGCGCGCACCTCACGCTGTTCCGGCGCGCACCTCACGCTGTTCCGGCGCGCACCTCACGCTGTTCCGGCGCGCACCTCACGCTGTTCCGGCGCGCACCTCACGCTGTTCCGGCGCGCACCTCACGCTGTTCCGGCGCGCACCTCACGCTGTTCCGGCGCGCACCTCACGCTGTTCCGGCGAGCACCTCACGCTGTTCCGGCGCGCACCTCACGCTGTTCCGGCGCGCACCTCACGCTGTTCCGGCGCGCACCTCACGCTGTTCCGGCGCGCACCTCACGCTGTTCCGGCGCGCACCTCACGCTGTTGTGGCGCGC